GTTTCATGTTTCTGTGTTTGTCTTGTGTTTGAGCACATGGCTCTGTCTTGGTCTGTGTTTGCCATGTGCTCCTCATGTCCTGCCTCCTTGTTTCTCGTTACCACGCCCCCTTGTTTAGTCCACGTCTTGTCCTCGTTTCATTAATTGTGCTCACCTGATCCTCATGTGCTCTGGTCCCTTCATATTGTGCCTCTTTACCTCATGTCTTTGCTGGGTCGTTGTGTGTTGTGAGTATGCACATTGCAGTGTTTTCTAGTTTGTGATCTTGAAATTATCCTAGTGTTTACGCTGGTTTGTTATCATTGTTACTGTTTTGTTTTGCTTAAGCTTTAGCACTTGTGCTTGGTAATCTAGTTGGAGTTCTCTTTTGTTTAGAATTATATTTTTAGTTTTCTTTAGTTCTTATTTTCCCTGTCAAGTGGAAGTTTTCTCTTTAGCTACTCCAGTTTTTTGTCTTAGTAGTTTTCATTAGTTTGCTTTCTATATTTATTTCTCTACTTTTTTTGTTTCTCTTTTCATTGATCTTATCAGTTTAGTTTCGCTTATCTTAATTGTTGCCTAATCTTGTCTTGTCTTGAGTCTTGTCTTGTGTTTCTCGTCTTGTATGTTGTTCTATGTGTTTCTGTCCTGTATCCTGAGTTCCCTGGCCACTGACTCTCAACTGCCTGGCTGCCTGACTGGTGCACCTATCCCCTGTGTCGAGCCTCTGCTTTTATGAGCCTCTTCCTGGTGGCAAGACTGGAGCTACATCTGAGATCTACATCAAGCTGCATGTTCCTAGTGTTCCTGCCTGGTCTTTCCTTCAGAGCTGCCTCTATTGCACTCACGTCATCGCCATCTAGCTGACGGTCTCAGTGGTCATCCATCCTGCCTGTCGTTGTCGTCTGCCTTGCCCTACTGTTTTTACTGTGATTCACGCTTCACTCCCTGCTGTTTCAAGTCTTCAGTCCTGTTAATAAAAACCTTGTCTGCTCATTTGCGTCTGGGTCCCATATCTTGCAGAACCCTAACAGAACGAACCAGCCAGCACAGGACCCAGCAATGAGCATCCGTATAGTTCCCCCCGCAACTGCCCAAGAGAGACTGGCACTCCAGCAGGGGTTGTTATCGCTTCGCCAACAGGGCCGAGATGTGCGGTCTTTTGCCCAGTTCTTCTGGACTATGGCTAAGGGCCTTGAGTACGATGATGCGGCCCTCAAGGTGGCTTTCAACCACTGCCTGGATAGTTCCCTGCCTCAATGGGAGATGGAACAACTAAGAGTCCTGGACTTCTGGAACTTCTCCAATTACCTGCATCACTGTAAGGATTGGCAGATCCTGACACCACCAGAGCCTGACTGTAGTGACCACCTCACCCTTCCTCCAAGTCAAGCTCTTCTGAATCCAACTGAAAAACGAAGGTTGAGAAGGAAGAGGGCAGCTCGGACTGCTGCATCAGTTTCTGCAACTGACTTGGTGGAAACAGTCCTTCCTAACACAGTCACCCCAGAGCCTGCAGAGACCGTCACAGTCACCCCAGAGCCCGCTCCAGTCCTACTAGGAGCCCGCTCCGTTAACAGCAGTCACGTCAGAGGCAGCTGCGGCCGCTGCAGTCACTTTAGAAGCGGTCAATCACGCATTGTTGTGCCCCTGTAAGCTGAAGCCAAGGACGGCCCATGCCGTGCAGTTTTACACTCCTTGTCAGGAGACCCTAGACCCATTGGTTCTGTGTCAGGAGGCCCCAAGTCCATTGATCCAGGGGAACCAGGATCAAGAGGTTCTAAACTCTATGGTCTTGGAGGACCAGAGTCAGGAGGTTACAAGTCCAGTGGTCCTGGAGGACCCGACTCCAATGGTCCCATATCCAGTGGTCCCAGAAGCACGTAGTCTGGTGGAACCACATCCAAAGCTGCCCACTTCACCAGTAGTCTTTGGCCTAGTGAAGGAATCAGAGACTGTCAATGAAACTTTACCAGAGCCACCTCTTATTCCTGTCACCCCAGAAGAGTTTGTTCCAGAGCAGCTCGTTTCATCTGTCTTGGACAAAGATGCCAGTCCAGAGGCAGTCGAGCACAAATTGCCTTGCCCTCAGAAGTGGACGTCCCGTGTTGTTAAGTCAAATGAACTTTTAGTGGCCCCTAGTGCTTTGGTCCGGCAGGTCTCAAATCAAGTGGCTCCAGCCCCTGAGCAAGTTCCAGTGTCGGCTCCAGCCCCTGAGCAAGTTCCAGTGTCGGCTCCAGCCCCTGAGCAAGTTCCAGTGTCTGTCACTGAAAGCGCCTCAGCAGCCCCAGAGAGCATCCCAGAGTCAAGTCCAGTATATATCCTTCCAGCCACAAAGGACGTTTCTGAGTCCATGTCAAGGACCCTTCATGAATCTCCTGAGTCCATTCCCCTGACACGCACCCTTCCTGCTAGGTCTGTAATGGCCCCAGAGTTCACCCCCAAGACTGTTTCTGACACCAAGGCCATTTTCAAGCCCCGACCATTTGAGCAAGCTCATCTTCCCAGGAGGACCACTAAGTCTGTCCCTACCCCTCCCATCCCACCCTCTGTATTACCTGGTCATTATGTGTTTTCTAAACCAGTATTTCCCTGGTTTGCCTCAAACTATTCCCCTGGATTATTTTGTTCCCTCCCAGTTCCGTTTCTTGGAAGCCCCGGAACTCCAAGTTTTGTTCCTCTCCCTCCCTCCCAGTTGGTACCCCCTTTGCCCAGTGTGGACGCCTGGAGGCGTCCATTAGAGGGGGGGTACTGTCAAGGTTCTGCCCTGGCAGCCTTGTCTGTTTTTTTGTGGTTTCATGTTTCTGTGTTTGTCTTGTGTTTGAGCACATGGCTCTGTCTTGGTCTGTGTTTGCCATGTGCTCCTCATGTCCTGCCTCCTAGTTTCTCGTTACCACGCCCCCTTGTTTAGTCCACGTCTTGTCCTCGTTTCATTAATTGTGCTCACCTGATCCTCATGTGCTCTGGTTCCTTCATATTGTGCCTCTTTACCTCATGTCTTTGCTGGTTCGTTGTGTGTTGTGAGTATGCACATTGCAGTGTTTTCTAGTTTGTGATCTTGAAATTATCCTAGTGCTTACGCTGGTTTGTTATCATTGTTACTGTTTTGTTTTGCTTAAGCTTTAGCACTTGTGCTTGGTAATCTAGTTGGAGTTCTCTTTTGTTTAGAATTATATTTTTAGTTTTCTTTAGTTCTTATTTTCCCTGTCAAGTGGAAGTTTTCTCTTTAGCTACTCCAGTTTTTTGTCTTAGTAGTTTTCATTACTTTGCTTTCTATATTTATTTCTTTACTTTTTTTGTTTCTCTTTTCATTGATCTTATCAGTTTAGTTTCGCTTATCTTAATTGTTGCCTTATCTTGTCTTGTGTTTCTCGTCTTGTATGTTGTTCTATGTGTTTCTGTCCTGTATCCTGAGTTCCCTGGCCACTGACTCTCAACTGCCTGGCTGCCTGACTGGTGCACCTATCCCCTGTGTCGAGCCTCTGGTTTTGTGAGCCTCTTCCTGGTGGTAAGACTGGAGCTACATCTGAGATCTACATCAAGCTGCATGTTCCTAGTGTTCCTGCCTGGTCTTTCCTTCAGAGCTGCCTCTATTGCACTCACGTCATCGCCATCTAGCTGACGGTCTCAGTGGTCATCCATCCTGCCTGTCGTTGTCGTCTGCCTTGCCCTACTGTTTTTACTGTGATTCACGCTTCACTCCCTGCTGTTTCAAGTCTTCAGTCCTGTTAATAAAAACCTTGTCTGCTCATTTGCGTCTGGGTCCCATATCTTGCAGAACCCTAACAGATGAATGCATCAACACATGACAGTCCACTGTGTATTGGGTTATCAGACTTCTAAATGAGGTGCTGAAGTTTAACTAGGTTTAACAAGGTCTTTTGATCTTCACAGACTTGTTTTGTGTTACTCAAAGACTAAAAAAAATATTAAATCTATATGATCACTTTAGAATCATGGTTACACTATTTTAAGGTGCCCTTGTTACAGTGTAATTATATAAATAAGTACTAAAGAGTCATATTAATTAACATGTGTTTACTATATAAATAGGATTAGGATTCATGTTTGGTTTAGGGTTAGGCTAGTTGCTTATGATTATGCATAATTTACTGTTATAGTAAGTAGACTGTAAAATAAAGTTTTACCAAACTGGTTTGTTGCTGTTGGAATTGAATTGAGATGTGGGCCTGTAATTATAATTAGCCTTACAGTTTATGTAATATTAAACAAAGAACAATATATCAGTATTGTTGTTTGATTAATATTCCCTAATTACCAATTGCATACAGTACATATGTAATCTAAAGGTCTCTAGTAAATAAATTAGTAAATTCCTGTGCTTCTCTTTTATCCCAGTAATGGTTACTCAGACGAATGTGAATTGTGTACACGCTCTGGATTGCCTACAGCAAGGTTGAACAAATAAAAAAATAAACCCACATAAAATGATTCAATCTGGCACTTGACCTAAAATGAGTTTCACACCCTAATCTAAATGTAGTCATTCATTTATTGATCGAATTAGGTACATCATAAAAGATGTATTATAAAACTATGTATCATAAAAAGACTTATAAAAAGACTTATAAAAGATTTGTTGTCTTTGAACTTTGTCTGGTAGGTTTATTACATTTGTTGAAAGTGACACCTTTATTACAGTAAATTTGCTAAAAGTGACACTGAAATTAGATTTTGATATATTTTTCACCTTGCAGGTTATAATGCTTTAATTTACATTGTGGCTAACTTGCCTTCTCAGAAGCACATTCACACAAATGTATCCATGTACCTGGGACCATTTTTGTCAAGATATTTTTAGGCCAGTCACAATCATACCGAGTTGTGTCTTTTGTGTGCTGAATATCTTTGTTTTTGTCTGTGAGTTTGGCTATAAAAGTATTTTTAGATCTATCAATTTTAAAGCAATTTCAGTGATCATTAAATAAATATTTTATTTTCTTCTCAGCAGTTCCACTAAACCAAAAACAGATTCAATTTCCAGGTTAAAATTCACTCACCTTATACACATAAGGGTTCTTCCGAGAATCAGTGAGAATGTCAAATCTCGTGTAAATATCGTTGAGCAGGTTGACGATTTTAATGGCTCCCTCTGCTGATGCATGTTTGCTGCAGAATGCATTGAAGCCAACAATGCCACTAAAAAGAATTGTCACGTTGTCGTATCGTTTAGCAGGCACGGGCCGCTTATGCCGCAGTTCATTGGCTACAGACGGAGGCAGAACAGAATACAGCAACCTGAAAAAAAGAGGTATTATTATTTGCATGTGCACTCTTTAAAAAAACAACAACATATATTCATTGAATTCAATGTCACTGAACAAAAGATTGTATTTTGAGTCATACAATTTACTGTTCTGTAGTCATTCAAAGCAATACAGTTGTTTACTTCAGTTTGTAGGAAAAAAACTGTTAAAAAAGACCAAAATGAATTAATATATTTACAAAACGAATCCTTTTGTGAAATTCACTTCAACTGACCATGGGATAATGTGCATCACTTCATTCTTTTAGACACTGTACTTTCCCTGAAGGTTGAGTGCTAATTATCCACAGAGCTGTTTGAGTATTAGCTCTCTACATTTAGACATTCATCCATCTGTTCTGATCTTATTTCATACTGCCAATGGGAAAACACAAATATTAACCTCTGCGATCAAAAAGCATTTTAGAGCTCTGTTATACAACATGATAGAAAATAGTAGGGGTGGAACGGTACATGTATTCGTATCGAACCGAAACGGTACGGGCGTCACGGTTCGGTGCACGAATTTACACGGAGAATACACGGTATAAAAATAAATAAAACTCGCGTGCAAATTAATTAATGTAATGCGGAACTACTGTTAGATACGCGGGTTCTTTAGGGACACATAATCTGTAGCATCGGTAGCTCTGAACGCGCGTTCACTTCAAACGTTGGCTTTATACGCGCGTCCTATTCGCTTTGGACTAGCGTCGAACTAGACGCGAATGGTGTGACCGTGACCGCATAATGAACAGGCTGCGATGTCAAGATTGCAATGCTGGTGTGTGTGTGTGTGTGTGTGTGTGTGTGTGTGTGTGTGTGTATGTCGTGTGTGTGTGTGTGTGTGAGAGAGAGAGAGAGAGAGAGAGAGAGAGAGAGAGAGAGAGAGAGAGAGAGAGAGAGAGAGAGAGAGAGAGAGAGAGAGAGAGAGAGAGAGAGAGAGAGAGAGAGAGAGAGGCGCGCGATCGAACAGTGGAAACATAAAAAACATACTCCGTCATTTTGTTCATACAGATCATTAAACCTGCAAAGTGTTTACTTATATTTGTGTACACTCGCAATAAAACACAACATTGTGCTTTTGTCACACTGTAAACTCTTGTCAAACTGTAACCTACAACTGTCACCCAACCAAAATCACACACACACACACACACACTGTTTTAAAAGCAAAACATATTTATCCAACTCCATTTCAAAACAGTCTGTGGGTCCCATCTTTTGGACATTCATCATATCGCATTGGTTTTCATTTCTCGTCCTCGGAGCACTAATCTTACACACTCTACATTGATTAAAAAAAGAAAATCGAATGTTTTTAATGGTAGGATTATTTTATACAGAAATCAATTATTTATAATTCAGATGAGAATAATGTTACATTGTCAATTAATAATGTTAATTAAAATTAAGGAAAACAAATATATTGATCTGAAATATAGCAAAATAATTTTAAATTAATAGTACAATTACCAAACATATTGCAAGGTCTTTTTGTCTTTTTATTAATTTAATTAATAAACAAATTATATAAAACTATTGCAAGTGCACTACAAATAAACTGGTTCTATGCCTTTATTAATCAAACTTATTTAAAAAATACAATGCCTTCTGCATTTTTGTTTTGCTTTTCCCTCCATTGTACCGAAATCGTACCGAACCGTGATGTCTGAACCGAGGTATGAACCGAACCGTGACTTCTGTGTACCGTTCCACCCCTAGAAAATAGATATGAAATTACTCGCTTATACTAATATTATAAACATTACAGGCTCTTTATAAATATGCATGTATTTATTTAAGTATTTTGTGCTCAACACTGTGGCATTTATTTAATCAGACATAGAGCAAATGAAGTAATATTGTGAAATATTATTTCAATTTAAAATAACTGGTTTTCTTTCAATATTTTAATACAAATTTGTATTTCAATTACAATGTCTTTGATGAACAATCAGAATTTTTCGTGTAGTCTTAAGTGTACAACAAAAAACAGCAATCTTCTATGAGGCGACACCTACTTCATCTGCATATAAAAACAGTGTCATAAAATACATAAACTTTAAAAAAACATAAACCATATACACAAACCTTAAAGAAAATGGCTCAGACACAACTTGCACAACTCAGTGTCCTAAATTGACCAACAAGTTTTAGTGCAAGACGCCTGCTAGTGAAGAAAAGGCTGCACTATTCAGAACATTCAGAATACGGCCCTTGTGTTCACCTGTTATCCACAAGTCACAAACATCCAGGTTTCCAAGAAATGCATGTGCATCTAACGCTACTGAAAAAAACAGTATGTACATTTAAAATTATGTGGTTATGACTTCTAAGCATAATTTTAAATGTACATACTGTTTTTTCAGCTACTGAGTAATTCTTACACTTATAGCTTGTAATTTGCAACACAAATGAAAAAACCTACTCTGTATTTAATGAAGATTTTCTAAACCCTATCTAGGAACACTCATGTTTTAAATTCTGACTAGAACACACAGGCATTTGTGTAGCTCCAGCTGGTATTTATTGTCTGTGTGGATGAGAGAGAGTTTCTCTGGTGATGTTCAAGGTTCTCCACCAGATTTAATAAACAAACACAGAGCTTGCAGACTGAGGCAGACCGGCTCCCCAAGGAGAGCGTAAATACAGCCTAATTTTTCAAGCAGGAAAAGAGAGACAGGCATCTTTAAAAAGCTGTATGCAGGGGAAACAAAGTAAAGCCAATTTCATGCTTATTTTTTATCATTATAGCGATGTGACAGCTTGTGCGGCATTATATCACCAAACTATAGACTCGAAGCAGGATCGTAAGTGCTTACGGTGCCATCTGGGATAGGGCCTTAGTCATTAGACCTAAAAGTGACCTTTGTTGCATTACTCAGTGTATTGGTCTGGATCTGGGTCCTCACACATGGTCTCGCATAAGCCCGTTTCCAGCTTGCCTTGTGTAACCGCCCATTTAGACAGGAAGAGATGGTCTGATTGACATGTAATGTAATTTACAGATTACTGTACAAAGGTAATGATAACATGCAGAGGAGGAGATGAGCCTTATTTTATTTATCCGGAAATTATAGAATACTATAAACTCCACACAGACTATGAAAGGCCCTTTAGTGAAGAAGGGAAGGGAAGAACCAAAGAAATGATGACAGAAATTTAACACTATACTGTATTACATTTAAGTATGATGTATGGTATACAGTAGCCCGAGAATAGATAAAAAATCAGTTAATCTCAAAATCAGTGTTGTGGGTAATGCATTACAAGTAATGCGAGCAACATAATCAGATTACTTTTTGGAGTAACTAGTACAAAAAAATGTGGAAGGCACAGGCCATAGCAAAGACACATAAGCCCCATAGAAAGGGACTTATTTCCATGAATTCATAGGAAACCTTCTAAGAATGAACATGCATATATCCAGCCCTTTTCCTACTCAGTTCATATTCACTTGAGACACAAACAATCGTGTATCTAATTTCCCTGTGACCATAGGTTATTTTATAGTGTTTGCCTATGTATTAATTCTTGAACGAATGGGGTAGTTTTGTTTGATTAACCAAGATCGCATATGTACCATTCTTGGTAGCTACGAATTTGTATTTTGATGACCTACATGATTGGATATATTATATGTTGATACCTGTGGTTTAGCCTCCATCAACACCCAATCCAGTTAGCAAAATACCATGCTCAAAGACAAAGGATTGTAAACTTTCCCTCTAAAGGCTGATTTATACTTCTGCGTTGGACCTACGCCGGAGCCTCTATGCTATACGCGTTGGTTTTCATTTATACTTCTGCGTCGTTGTCCACGTTGACGCGCAATTACACATGCATAGGGAGCATGTGAAAGCCGGAGAGCGGTTCTAGCAGACCAATCACAGCACATGCGGTACGCGTAGAATTGACGCGTTGTTACATTTTTGGAGAGGTGCACGTCAGGGTACACGGAAGGGTACGCGCGCTACACACAGCCTACGACGTAGCTACGGCGTGAGTTCGACGCAGAAGTATAAATTGGGCTTAAAGGTTTAAGTTCCTATTGGATCACTGATCCCTTGCACGAGTGACCTCCACAAGAAGTTAAAAGCCACTGTTGAAGTGACCTTCTTTTCTCATCCTTCTTCTCCTGGTTGCTGTTCATGTAGGACCTCACCAGGCCCTAGAGCAGACGCAGCCGCGCCGGCAGGCCTCAACACATCAAGCCATGTGTAACTTCCTCGACCATAACAGAGTCAGGCTAACATTGCAAGTTCATTATAATTTCTTCATTAAACGTGGGAGAAATTGATTGCAACATCAACATCGACCACAGAGCCATAAAGACTTTCTCCTGAGACTACATATTAGGACGCTCATTTAATGACTAAAGCATTGCAAGTATCGTACAATTAACTAATTAAACAGAGGTTTAGTATAAGTGGTAGACCCCATATTACAAAGGTGCTTTGAAGTAAGAAACCGATGGTTATTTCAGATGGTTAAATCACTCTGTTCATAGCTTCAATCCCTAGTTCTGTTCCGGTTTCATTCACTTTCACTTTTCCATTCCATTAGTACGCATGTGTGATGTGTGTGTATGTGTTTGTGTAGATTAGTTATGTGTTCGTGATTTAATCAAAACAATTTTTTGTAATTTTACGATGCAATCACAGCTACATGCTAAGGAAGATTTATTTTTCTGTGACCACGAAAAATATATTTTCTAAGAGTTGATAGAAGATTTACCAATACTGAGTGTTTGCTGGACAAACAGATTAATTGATTGTAATATTAATTCAGCTACATCCAGTTAATTCTATTAACTGATCCATATATTTATAATTAATTATAATTAGTTATAATTAGCTTCCCTTTTGAGCTAATTTGCTACAGCATTCCATCCTTGTGTTTCTGGATGAGGTAGTTTCCTGGCCTCATCTGATAGCCACGATAACTACCTCACATGTCTGGGCCTTCAACACGCTGGGCGACCCAGCGT